GAAATAAAAAACTGTAATAACAGTCAAATGCATCAATCACTTGTTTTCTTCAGTTCAACAAGCTGTCATTGACAAAAATCATGCTGACATGACTGTGCTATAAGCCCAGCAAACTTGCATGACTAAGAGTTAGAGCAACAAACATATTCAAGGAAAAAAAAAAAATCCTTTCCATCCTCCATCAGGGTACTTTTATAAGAACACTTCAGACCAACTTAACCAGTATAAAAACCTGCAATTTCTTCCAATCACCACTTGCACAATAGAGCTAGTCAACGATTACACATTAACATGAAGTTCCAATTCCAAATAAATAAATATTAAACCCACAAGATTGTGATCGTACTCCAACTTCAAGGAAAGTGGGAGAAAACAGTAAGTATAGAGGGGTTGTACCTTAACAGATACTTCAAGTGATTTTTGATAAAATTCATTTTTTGGTTCCTGCACCGGAAGAACGACCATTCACAAAACAACTTAAGCAAGAAAATAGGAACACATTAAAGAAAGATCCTCGTTTATTCGGTGTACCAATGCAAATGCTTGCTCAAAGTACTTGGCTGCCTTATCAAAGTGAACTTTAGCTTCATCAAAGTCGGGAATAAGAAATGCATTAGCTGTATATGCATTCCCAAGGCACCACAGAGCCTCGTGCTTTGCAGGATTAATAACAAGTGCCTCCTCTAGCTTGTCAATAGCATCTATAAAACATAACCAGCTAAATCTTTAATACTGACACCCAAAGTTTTAATTCACAGTACCAAAATATACAATCTTGAAACAATCATTCAATATGAAAATCAAGTCGAAACATCCTACCATTGCAGTCACATATCTATATTTCACCAAAACCCACAAAATTATTTTGCATTTTACAGATAAAAACCAGATTTTTAGGCATAAAGGCTATGGCTTGCACGAAAAACGGAAAGTACAAAAGAATAGTTATACTTGTGTCTCCTTACTCATCCTAAATCAGTAAACCTACCATAATCTTCATAAGCACGAAAATGCCTTCAAAATTCAACCAAAAACAACACACAATCCACAAGAAAAATAAAGGGCCAGAATAGTTAACTTGCCTTGAACCATCTTCTTCGAAACAGGAGGATCATTTTCAAACTGTGATAACTCGAGCAACACGCTGCCCCATCTTGTTAAATTCTGGCAAACAAAGATTAATATAAAGTTATAATCAAATCGAACACAAGTTAAGAGGAAAAAAGAAACTCAATCTTCGGTTAAAAGACAAATACGAACATCGGCGTCCAGAGGGTTTGTAGCATATGCATCTTCTGCGGTACTCCGAGCAATCTTATAGAAAGCGACACGTTGTTCAATATCGACCGACATATCCATTTTTCTGTCGACTGGTTTTCAGCTTCAATGGTTGTCGATTTAGGTTTTTCGTTTGGGCGACAAGATTTTTCTTCGGTAAGGGGGGTTTTTTCTCAATATATATACAAGTTCTCGAAAAGTTTGTGGGCTTTGAAATCGTAAGTTGAATGTTAACTGCATTTGGGTTTAATAGTTGTCTACAAAGCCCAACTTTGTCCAAGGCTCACTTCATGATCGTGGATCTATATTCTATAACTCATTGGGAGTATTTAATAGGGCAAAATTGTTAAACACTTCAAATTTATTTTTAAAATTTTTGTAATTTAGGGTTGGATTTTATATAATATATATTATATATATATATATCTATATTTGTAAATTGGATCATGATTCATGAACCTAACGATGAATGATGTGTGCTTTGATATTGTTTTGAATGAATTGTGGTACTAAATATCGGTCGATCTGGGTTAAGCTTGTTAAGCAATGATGACGTAAATTATAAGTTACTAACTTTGTACCACTGATATTCAAAGGACCAAGAAATTAAGTGCACGTCAACCACGATAAAGATGTCAGCTTCCAAGTCGATCTATGCCTATTGAGTCGATCTCATTCGAGGATTGTAGGCAGGTCAGACCACCAAAACTGTCTCCCCACACCGACCAAAGGAGTGACTTCCTTTAAGACGTTCTCGACTAAATAATACATATTGGTGTTAAAAGGTTGTCATCTTCAACCAGTTCGCACTGCCCAAACAGATCTGCCACTTAGCAATTTGCAAGGACATGTGTTGTCATGCATGTCGACAACCTTTAAGAGACCGCTATGTGTTCCACAAATAACACATTATATTGTCTTTTGCTTTTATAAATAGCTGACTCTCGGTGTTGCCAAGAGCATCGACAAATACATGGTTGTAATCCCATAAAAAAGGTGACAAATAACTCACATATCTCTAAAAATAACTAATACTCCCTCCTATTTTTTTAAATGTCATTCTAGCTTTTTCAAATATTTGCCAAATAAATGTCGTTTTGGATCTTTTGTACATATTTTTCTATTATTACCCTCATTTAGCCAATAAATACATTACGTCTTTTCATATTCACTCTTCAATTTTTCTCAAAACATCCATCTCTATCTTCATTAAATAAGGTTATTATTGACAAAAAAACTATTCTTAATTAGTGTGCAACTTCTCAAAATGACATATATTAAAAATAGGAGGTAGTAATAGGTTTTCAATATCTCTTTATTATTTTAAAATATTTTTCAATAAATCTTTGTAAAAAAAAAAAGAGTATGGGAACTGCCCAACCCAACCACTAATAGACTCCCCGATGTGGGCGCATCAATGAGTCGATCATCTTATTGTTCTATTTATTTTGTATTCTTTATTTTTATTATCGTCTTAAGATACCAGTTACCTTTAAATAAACACACTACCATTTCAATAGTAGCGTCGGCGAAAAACGGACGTCAACATGACTAGTACTTAAAGTAATAAAAAGTATAAACTACGAACTCTTGTACCATGTAACAACTAGAATTTCGACAGTCATATACGACAATTGTGGATCAGGAAAGAAATAGCAGCATGTTTAATAACTTTCATGGAGGTCTCAAATTCTATAGTTTGAGGCAATAGATATAAGGTATAAGCTAGTCAAATTTAGTATTTTAGGCAATAACACACTGGAGATTTCGAGTTTTACAAGTTGAGGAAAAGTGATTTTGTGTGTTTGTGTGTGTGTGTGTGTGTTTTTTTTTTCATTTTGTTTGCAAATTGTGGAAGTTGTAGTATTCAATTTATAAGTTCATACCTTATTTTATAAAATATAAAACGCCGTGTCTTAAAACAACCAGCGACTGACGGAGCACTTCCATCTTTTGACTCGCTATGCAAATACACACATGGTTTTGAAATAATACGTTTAGTGCGTAGTCTAAAAAGAAAGAATTTACCTAATGGACTGAAAAAAATATTGATACGAAGTTTTTACTTAAACCTTAACACTTCGTATGTTACCCCTTTTGCTCTGACCCAACTGTCTTCGATTTGAATATCCACAGTGCGTGACATCCTCTTATCTGTCAATGGCCATTGTTTTATACTACTTTCTATTTTTTTAAAATATCATTTTGGCTTTATTAATAATTAACTGAATAAATGACGTTTTTAATATTTTGTACATATTTTTCAATTATTACTTAACTAATAAATACACTACATTTTTTTTATATTCACTTTTCATCTTTTCTCAAAACATTTGTATTTAAATTGCAATTTACAATTCAAATAAATGTTGTGGTCCATTTGGCAATATAAGGTTATATAAGAGAAAAGAAGACAAAGTTTTTTTTCTAAAAAAAAAAAAAAAAGAAAAAGGAAAGATGTTCAAATTTTAAATTTGAGCACAAATTAGCTCGACGGTGGAAAGCTGTCGTGGGCTCACATTCGTAGGTAAGTTCACATTATTACGTTGTCGTTTTCTCAAAAATTAATAAATAAATTAAAAAGCTATTTGGTAATTTGGTAAATAAAGCAAAAGGTTAAGGGCATCCGTGGAATTAAAAATAATATAAATCGCGATAAGTCTGCCTATCATCGTCCTCTGCTGCATCTTCCGGTCACCAGCGGCGGATATAAAGGTGAGTGCTTCATTTCCTCTCTCTCATGCTTTAGCTTTGAGCTAGGAAACCCTAAATTTGGGTGGTCGGCCTGTTTGTAGCTTCAGACAAAATGTTCATTTGACAAATCGATTGAATGTGATTCACTAGTTTTATCAATTACGTTAAATGTTTCTGAACTTTTAGGTTTTCCGCTGATAATCGATTGATGCGTGTATGTTTGGTGAAAAAATGTTAAATTTTAGTGTGTTTGATGACGAATTTGCTGTCTTGTAGCTTAATCTGATGTTAATAATAGCCATTGTAGCTGCACGAGCTCGAATTTCGCTGTAGTTTGTTTTGCTTCAGTGATAGTGAACTCCGAAAAGCTGCTCTTGATTTCCAAGTATTTTGAAAATATTTGAATTTTGCCTTTGGATGATAGTTGATGTTGGGATACTTCTTAGTGTTTGTTGATTTTAATTTTTCTCGAAAGTGTAATCACCCAAATTAGCTGGTTTTTAGGGACGAATGCGATATGAAGTGAACGTTTTGGTTAACTTATTGCATATAGTGGAGTTTGAAACTTCATTCAAATCTTTCCAGTTTGTAGTGATTTTTATGGAATGTTATAGCATAAATGAATAATTGTATGCTTCTTGGATGCTGTCTGCCTCTGCCAAGTGTGAACTGGGATTATAAACTATGTAATGCTTTTATATTGGATTTTATTGACATTGTTCAAGTGGGAAACATACGATATACTTATTACATTGTCGTAGCAGTGATTTGTGGGTGAATTTCTTAACATGTCTGGTGGAATTTCTTATTACTAGGATGGTAATTACAATATATAAATACATATTAAAATAGGGTAATTTTTGCCCCCTTCATCATTTTGGAGATGGCAGTGTTCAAACTCTGTTGCAGACGTCACTGCGCCCATTTTATGAAACTATGGATGTATGTGTAGTTTAACTTCCTTTTTGCATGATGTGAATATTTATGTTCTTTAGATTTTCCTGTTGCGCCTGTAGCTTAATCTCCTTTGCACTTCATTATCTATGAAAAATCATTCTGTAATTTGCATGATGCTGGCTAATTGTTTTTCTTTCTTTTCTTCAACAAAATATCTAACAATACCACGGTTACTTGTTCTAAGGTTTCCATCATGGAGAGTCTTCACAGCTTCTGGCAGTTAGGCGATGAGCTTCGAGGACAGTCAAGAGTCTCGGAGGATCAAAAATGGTCTGTGGCTGCTTCAAAATTGGCTGAGCAGACCAGGTCAAAGCCCGAGCGCAAAAGCAATGTAGATCTCTCAAAGGGTTCTGCTGAATTTAAGCCCAAGGATAGTTTTGTATTTCAAGAAGACAACAGATTTGAAAATTTCAACTTCGGCATGTTAAACCTGGGGCCAAGGTTCAACGAAAATGTGACCAAAAGTTCGTTCGCGAATGGTATTTACAATATGAATGCTGTTTATCAGAACCCAAATGTTAGTACTCTGGGAAATATTCCTGGAAGCAAATATAACAATATCAACATCATGAAGGAGCCTAATGTTGTCAATACCAAAACTAACAAGGACGAGAGCTCAAATGCAAATAATGCCATCGATAAAAGGTTTAAGACCTTACCAGCGGCTGAGACACTCCCAAGGAATGAAGTTCTCGGTGGATATATCTTTGTGTGCAACAATGATACAATGCAGGAAGATTTGAAGAGACAACTGTTCGGTAATTATAAATATTTTTTCTCTTCTGATTAGGCTGTTTTTACATTTTACTACTCATGTTATTATAATTGCTTTAGTCCATGCCATTTTTCTCATTGGTGCCCATTCATATCCAGCTACTTTTGTTAGCTTGTGTGGGTGGGTCAAATCTGACAACTGCAAATAATTAAATTTATTGTGCTTCTGTTTGCCTAATATTTGTAATGTATATACTTCTGCGATTATTGATGCCTAACCACTGTCCATCATTTTGTAGGTTTGCCCCCAAGATACAGAGATTCAGTGAGGGCAATAACACCTGGTTTGCCTCTGTTTTTGTACAACTATACCACTCACCAGTTGCATGGCATCTTTGAGGTATGTTGGCAGTTTTATTTTTAATATTTTTGGTCAAATTTGGTATAGTTACTGTGTCTGCAAAAACGGGAATATGCAGCCGTTTTACAGTAACTGAGAGCCATATGCTATGATTGTCTGACAAAATGAGATTTGATGAACTTCCCAAAGACCAATTATTTGTTTCGGGGATGGTAGGAAAAATGCACTCCTTCTCGTGTTAAAGCTGAAAGGCTCTCAAAAATTTTATATATAAGAAATGCCATACTTCAACTACGACTAGTTCATCGTTCTTCATCATATGATGATCTTTGTCTTGACTAAGTGTTCTTTGTGCTCTTTACTTAAGTTGCTCTGCAAACTGTATGATTGACAGGCAACAACCTTTGGAGGCTCCAACATTGATCCTACTGCTTGGGAAGACAAAAAGTGCAAAGGCGAATCGAGGTTCCCTGCCCAGGTAAAATTATGTTTCTATACCTTCTAATATGAGTTTTAATAATTTTATGCTCTTACAAATTTGAATTATTTTCCGACAAATCTCGATTGTTGATCTTCAGTTTAACGTTGATCCCAACTAGGTAAGAATTCGTGTTAGGAAACTCTGCAAGGCTCTGGAAGAGGATGCATTTAGGCCTGTCTTGCATCACTATGATGGCCCTAAGTTCCGCCTTGAACTCTCAATTCCTGAGGTTCGTTCGAATCATAAATATAGTAGAACTTACCTTTCAAGTATTCTTATTGAGAGTTGCAATCGCTATATTCGAGAAAAGAAAAAAAAAAAAAGTATCCAAGTGGCTTCCAGCTTTTGGCTGAAAAATTATGTATAATAGTTTTTTATTGTTTTCAAACTGTGATACTACTTAAAGTAATCCACATATAAATCACGAACGTTTGAATCCCCTTCGGGTGCATGTGTTCCATATCTTTTTTTTTTTTTTTCCTGATACTGTTTTTGCCTTGACTTTCACAACTTTATTACCGACTAATTATCCTTTAGCTTTTACCACCGTCATTAGATAAATCTTTTGGCATCTGCTACAAAAGGCCGCGTTATTTTTGTTACTTAATTTTTCTTTCAAATACCCCTTGGTATTTATTAACTCGATCTATCATTGCAGACTTTAGACTTGCTTGATCTTTGCGATCAAGCTGGTTTGCTGGATACCGTTGCTGATATTAATCTCAGCCCTGCTTAATACATAAAAATTGTACTGTGTGCATCATGCTCGTCTAGCGTATATGGAGAAGTCGATTGTATTGCTTTTCAGAGATTTTCCGAGTTGCGCAAGCTTTGTTGAGAGGGAAAATCTGGTTATGTGCTTTAAGTTTTAGGGATTGGATTTTGTCCAGTGGCCTAATAAATGATGATGTAATGGTATCCTGTGAAGATGCAAACAACTCACTTTTAAAATACCCCTTGTGTGTAATTTATCTCTATGGACAACTTTGCATGTAAAATGGAGGCTTGGTCGATGAGAGCCTTTATCTGGTAATTACAGAATGTTTTTCTATGTTGGTACAATATATGGTTTCAGTCATCTCTCTCTCTCTCTCTCTCTCTCTCTCTCTCTCTCTCTCTCTCTCTCTCTCTCTCTCTCTCTCTCTATTTAGTCTCTTTCTTTTTGTTTTTTTCTTTTCTTTTTTCTTTCTGCAGTTAAATACGGCCATAAACCCTTTTGTGGCATCCCCCGAGCACGAATCATTTGTATCACCAATAAAAGTTGCAGGTCGTAATTGATCCTTATCGAGCTCTCTTGGTTTCTATATGCCTAAAGAGTTTGCCGAGACGCAATCCAACAGCGGCCTTACCTTGATAAACAAAGTAGTTCCAATTTGCAGGTTGATCGAGTAAATGATATGTTGATAACACAAGTCACCTAAAAGAAATGACTTAGTTACAAAACATCCTGATTTTTCTTCCATATTACAACACACATTTTACAACAAAATCTCATCCTGGCTTAGGGTTCAACCTGCCAAGCAAATTTCTCATTAATAAAAAAAAGTCATTTCGCATTCAAGTCCATCAAGTGTCTCCTCCAACAAGACTCCATCCTGCTTTTTTCCTCAAACTCCCTTCTCTCATTCCTTTTCTCCTTCCCATTACATCCTCCCATCTTCCGGCTTCTGCATACATATTCGACAAGACAACATAAACCCCGTGATTCTCGTGATCCAAATCAAGAATCTCCTCAACCACACGCTCGGCAACTTCGATCTCTCCAAACTCCTTGCAAGCACTCAATAAAGCCCCCCAAATCGCCACATCCGGTTTCCAAGGCATTTTCCTTATCAAATACTCGGCATCCAAAATCCTCCCCACTCGGCCTAGCAAATCCACCATGCACCCGTAATGCTTTATATTCGGCTCGACCCCATAAACCCTTCTCATCGAGTAAAAAACATCACTACCGTAATCGAACAATCCCGCATGGCAACATGCGGATAAAACTCCAAGAAGCGTGATCTCGTTCGGCTTCATTTTCTCCCTCTCCAGCATTTCGAAAAAACGGATAGCCTCGAACGCATGGCCATGAACAGCAAGCCCCCAAATCAAAGAATTCCAAGTCGCGACATTTTTCTCCCTCATTTGATCGAAACAAATCATTGCTTTGTCCAAAGCTCCGTTTTTCGCGTACATGTTCACCAACGCAGTCCCTAGAATCACGCCTAATTCCATCCTTTTTTCCTTCATATACGCGTGAATTTGCTCACCCAAATCCAAACAAGCCGATTGAGCACAAGCCGACAAGACAGAGGAAAAAACAACTCCATTCGGCTCGAAACCGTTTGAAATCATTTCGTCGAACAGCAAAATCGACTCCTTGGATTTGTTATTCTGTGCGTAGCCGCATATCATCGTGGTCCAGATACTCAAGTTTCTCTCACACATTTCATCAAACACCTTGCGGGCTTCTCGAAGCCCACTCGACACAGAGTAGCACCTCACGAGCCCATTGGCCACGTGCAAGTTCTGGCCCAGCCCGAACTTCAGCAAGTGCACGTGAACCTGCGCGCAGCACGTGATCGACTGTATGTGCGAACACGCCTTGAGGACGAAAGGGAACGTGTGGGTCCCGGGAGAGACGCCACCGCCGCACCTTCGCATTTGGGCGTAGAGAAGGAAACCGGCGACGGGGTTCGAGCTGGCGGCGTGCGCCCTGATCACGGTGTTCCACATGAATAGATTCGGCAAAGGGACGCTGTGGAGGAGCCTGAGGGCGTGGCGGAGGTCGCCGGAAGGGGAGAGGGCGCAGAAGTTGAGCAAGCGGCTGGCGGCGTAGACGTCGTGGATGCGGGCGGTGACGATCATTTGGGCGTGGATTTGCTTGATCTGGTTCATTGATTTGCATCGGTCCGCCATGAGAGATAGTGAGGCTCTCTCCGCCGGTGGCGATGATGGCGGCGGCCATGGTGGTTGCCGGTGAGATAATGCGGTTATGTTACGGCGGTGGGCCAGAGGGGATTTCACGATAAAAGGCCTTCGCATTGGGGTCGTATGCTGTTTGAAAGGAAAAAGGTTCCAAAACCCAAATAATATGTATTAGGCCCAGTAGGGCCCACTTGGTTTTTGCTAGATGTGGTAAGGAGAAATTTCAGGCCTTTATCAAGCCCCACATGATTTTTGAATCATTCGTAAATTTTAACATTTTAATATTTTATAATATCAAAGGTCAAAATTTATCACAAGCTTAGAGCCAATTTAATTATATTGGAATAATCTTAAGCAAATGTTTAGTGCTACACTCGTGTTGCAATCTGACTCCTAATTCCATCATATTTTACGCTTACAAAATTACAATCTACTCGCACATGAATTATAGGGGTTTGGGATGTGTAATTATATAGTAAACACGTCACAACTCACAACGACAAATTCGATTTTCTTTAGAGAAAAGACTACAGTCCCGTCACAGAATGGTTTCATGAGAGATTTTAGCCTTTAAATATATATGGCTAAAATTCCTCACGGAACCATTTTGTGACAGGACTGTAGTCTTTTCTCTTAGTTTAGTAAAAAACAACCAAAGTCTTTTCTAGTTAAATTAGTTTTTCCAATGGAACGCTCATTCACATGACAAGACGCACAAATTACAAATGCCAAAGAGTATTAAAAACAAAGCAAAAACTCAATTTGCAACATGCTAACCTCACATAACAAAGCAGGCAGAAAATACAAAGACCAAAAAGTTTAAACAGATCCTCAATGGCTAACCTCACGCAGGTGAGGAAAACTAACTGCACAACTCTATCAACACCCGACTGAGTTGAGTGATTGTTACAACGATAAGCTCCCAAATTGCTCGTTCCACTTTTCGTACGTGCCGAGTTCACTGAGTGAGACAGAAGGCCTCACCTCTTGTAATGCTAGCTCAAAGTCCTGAACACCAAAATTATCCAACTAAGGAAAAAAAAAAAAATGCTACGAAATCAAGAATTTACTGCTGCAGTGCAGTCCATAACTCAGTTACCTGAAGATTTACTGCCCTCATATCCTCCTTCTGCAGCTTAGTTATCTCAATACCCTGTTTCAGAGCCTCTCTCAGTGGGCCCATTGAAGCATCTTTGACCAAATTCTTCATATCAGATCCCGAGTATCCTAAAGAAGAACCAAAATTAAGAGTTTAAATTGCAGGGAAAATGAAATGGTTATTCAGTGATTAATTCTTTTAGAGCAGCTAACTTACCTTCAGTTAATTTGCATATAGTATCGGTATCTCCATTCGAAAGGTTAAACAATCCATCTTTCGCCAGCAGGTTCTTTATGATCCAAGCTCTTGCTTCTGCACATATAAATACAAATTGCTGATGATAAAGCAAACAGATTTTTCATTCGCTTAAAATTATTTATGATTATTCTAACATGGACCTGAAGTGGGAAGTGGAATGTACAGTCTCTTTGTGAGTCGTCGCCTTGCGGCCTCGTCAAGTTCTTGAGGCCTATTAGTTGCACCTGTTACAAGGAGACACTGAGGTATATTCATATTCAAACAATCAAGCACGACATAATGCACTTTGCAAACATAAAAATTTGTGTGGCATTGTGTGCAAAATCGAATTCCTTATTGTTGCGATTGCATTGATTTTACTCGGATCAAAAGAAAGTAATGCAAACTCTCGAGAAATAAACGAAAAATGGATGCAAACATCTAAATCTGTGTGGCGTTGTGTGCAAAATCGAATTCCTTATTGTTGTGATTGCCTTGATATTACTTGGACCATAAGAAAGTAATGCAAACTCTCGAAAAATAAACGAAAAATAGATTTATGCTGCACCGTGTTTAGCTCGAGAAATTTGCAATAACCAGTTGAAAAACAACCTATTAGTAGAATCTGCTCTGCCCCGCTGTCAAAGCCTTCCATTTCAATGAGGAATTGTGTCTTTAATCGTCGACTAGATTCATGTTCACCTTCCGATTTCCGCTGCAATAACATTAAATTGATCATTTTTGTTTTTTGCATTTCCAAGAGGAATAAGTAAATAAAGTAAGCTATCCGAGGAATCTGGGTATTGTAGCAGCATAAATAGATGAGCATGCGTTTATTGAATATTGGTAGTTACGGTTTTTATTAGTGTACTGCTGTAACCAAAGGTGAGAGATTAAAAAACCAAACGATGGGCATGCTAAATACAAATATATATATAT